AAGTAATTGATTCATACACCCAATCACAATCCATATGGGTAAATAATAGATACAATGGAATTAAGTACTTGATCTACTCCAAAAAAACTAAAATGCATTAAAACCCCAATAAACCATATGATGACTGTTGATCTCATAGTTCATATAAAGGCATCTTTTAAACCTACTCTGTGTACTATGCAGAGTGTAAACTAAACCTTCTTTGATATTGGTCAAGGCACAATGTTTGAAATTGAATTGAAACCAGAATTCATCTTTAAAGGTTGAGTTCGAAACAAAATTTCAAAACCAGAGGCATACTTTTGAACATCAAAAGCATTGGAGATTCGTCTGAAGGTTCCAACAAAAAATACGTATTCAACTGTATTTTTGCGTGTTTTTTTTCTCTGTATATCGTCACGGTGATATAAAACGAAAATGATCACCCCTTCTGTATACATTTTTGTACATTTTTGTCAACCAGCATTCTAATTTGTGATCAACACAGGCTTGCGACTGATCTAGGAGTATGATTACATTGCCAATAATTTGTTTTTAACAGAAACTCATGCATGTATATTTAATACTAACAGCAGCGAACAACGCCATTATTTTATCGCGAGTGCGAATGGCTGGTTCTTGCCAACCAGAACCAGTTACTGCGCACGAGTACGCACACGCGCACAGAACGTAAACAAGTGCGACATAATAGATACACATAATAATTGTGTCAATGGTATAAGCTGTTGCACTCATTGGAAGCTCACGTGTAATATATGCATGTAAATAGCATCTCCGCGCATACTTCACTTTTCCCAGACTTCAGTTGTCGAGACGTTGTGATGCGATCAGTACTTCGATGATACCCAAATTCCATTGCGCTATTTCGCGCCAGGTCCTATTTGTCACATTCATTCAGAATATGTACCATGATGCCGTAGAACCTAGAACAAAGCTGCTCGCCAACTTAAAGGCAACAGCGCTATTTTGGGGATTACCCGATATGTTAATTCATCTTAATCTGAACATATGGAAAACGCTGAACACCGGTATGTTAATATATTCATGTCTTTTTTTAATGGAAGTAGCCAGCGGTTGGTTTATTGGAGTGTGTTATATATGCGATTTTCTGTTCGCTGTAGGTTTGAGTATTGCATTCTCTAGACGATTGAAGAATAGATTGATTCAGTTCGACAGTTCAAACTGAGCAGCCTGCAGCATTTTGTTTTGGTGATTTAAACAACAATTCATTGGAAACCCATCAAAGGTATCAAAGGTTCACGCTTCTGTCGTCAAAATGGAGGAGTGTTTATCCACACCGGCGACTGCGGAGTGATATCAGTGCCAATATTGATTTTTTTTAAATAATACGTTATATTAGCTATTTATCACACGATTATTGTGGGCGCATTTTTTAATATAATTTTTTGTTTTTTTTCTGCATTTTTGATCATTTTTCGACCAATATATGATTGTTTTTCCACGTTTTTTGGTTATATTTGATGTTGTGAACTTTTTCGTTTTGTGCATTTTTAGATTTGATCGTTTCATTTTTTTTTCATTGTCATAATTTATGCAAATATCTTCCTAGACATGATCGCGTGGTGGTATTTAATGTTTAATATCGTAGTAAACATATCGTACTGCTACTTCAGGGAAGTACCGCCACCAGCCCCCGCCCCATCCCTACTTAATGCTAGATAATGCATAGATGTTAAGCTCGCTTTGCTGCAAGTACTGCGTTATGCCCAAAATGTCGGTCGTTTGTTATGGCCAATATTTTCACAACAAGCTTATTTGTCCTTTAAAGTGTGTACTATATCGATTTTAGTGTTTTACTTTCGATGTTTAATTTTAAACGAACATTCCAATATCAAATAAACGCTGTTTAAATTACCAATACGTGATGGTATTACTCGTAATACACAAACTCTAGTACGTTCATGACGTACAACAACAATGACTACCAAAATGCATTGACTTTCAACAGTTACAACGAAGTAAATCAATCGAGCAAACATAGCGGTTCATTGAGTAAATATAAACGATCTGTTCTTGGAATTTTGTGTATTGGCTCCGGGCCAAGCCGACGTTATAATGGAAGTAGTAAAACCTGTAACAACCTTATATTGTACCATATACCTTCGAATGCTATATTTTCTCCCGCCCAAAATGTTAGAACCATATTTTACACATTTGTATGTATTTTTCTATGATGGCTATAGATCTTGCGCAAAATATTTTATTTTTTTGTTTTAATTATGCAGTTTTTGTGTAAAAAATGAAACAAGTTGACTTTGGCGCACAAAAATTAAAATAGAATATACAGGTATGCTGAGTAATCTAGACTATATTGTATAATTATGCAGTTTTATTTGCAACCGCGATTCGCGCAAAATATCCCACATGCAGATCAGCCATGATCAATTAACACAAATATTTAATATAATACCTTCATAACCGCATGATGACCACTAAAACAAATTACGAATTTATCCAGTGTGTGTTTTATAAACTGACAAGTGAATTGCGCATATACTTCGGAAATGCCTAAAATACGATTAAGAAGTTTAGTTGACCCAAATTAAGTTAACATTGTGCCATTACTTAAATGCTGAATGCAGTAGACCATTCAACATAAAGTCAGTTACTTTTACTAGAGCGAATGTCCCCTACATGATGCATAACAAATATCATTAAAATAATGGGCGGGAATGATTAATATTGAAGCTGTGGTTAGTCTCCCTGAATTAATATGCTGTTTATTTAGCATGCAAACAAACAAACCAATTAGGTAGGTGTCAATTGCCCCATCATGCATAGCGCTGACCATTATAACTGTGTGTAGGTCGAGTGTCGGGAAGAAAATCTCAATATTCAATATTTCTAAGCAATAGCTATATGACATGATAATATGACATGAGCATGAGCCTTAATCTAATTTATGTTTTTGTATATTGCACTCCCATGAGCTGATCTAGTGCTAATGACCCCCTTTCTTGCTACATGTGCAACTTATAAAATAATACATGAAAGTTATGTGTTCGAATAAACTACAGATTGAAATCTGACATCCAATCCGTTTGTTGATTTGAAATTGTGATAAACATCTTGCACTCCACTATGGGAACTGTCGCGCTGACAGAGTAATAATATTTTATTTGTACTAATCAAATTATATTCACATAAATCACGTTCATATAAATGAGCGCAGTACATTCAACATTACAGTAGTCAATACCAATGGGAATGTAACAACGTTAATACAATCTCGTAAAACCGGACCCGATGATTGTTTTCGGTGAATTTACATTAGCTTAGGGGGTCATACAATACTTTGAGGACACAAGTGATGTATGTAATATGCCTTCTACTGAATTATTCAATCATGTGACCAAAATGAAATATAAATCATCGTTTAACAATCCTAGCGTTTCGCCCCAAGATAGTTCCGTCAATCAAAATACACTAATATTTAAAACACAATAATTTAAATAAATATCTCAATTTAATCATTATTATAACATTCATTAGTTGTATTATATTTAATATCAGTTTCGTCGATTTGGATGGATAACAAAGCTATATGATTTGTAAAATGTGTTTCGATAATGCATATTTTTCTACAATAGATATCCGCCCAATGTGTCGGTATTTTGGAACGTTAACCTTTTAGCGGAATTTTAGAGAAACATTTTGAACTTTTTTAAGTATTTCCCTGTGATGACGTCATTAATTTTGGATCAGTTGAAAATGATTTCATACGAATCACACGTCCTGATAAATGATGTTGATCCATTTTGTAACAAAGGTGAATTTTAACGTTCCTTGAGTTGTATCAAAATACACCGGATATCTGAATAAAACAACGTATCTGAGAACTGAAAATGTTTGTTTTTTTCTATTTTTCGAAAGCGAAAAAACAATCTCTCTGGAGTTTAATGCACGTTCACCACAGTCAATGTAATCAAGTCTATGTGCGTAAACTCTGATCTGGTCATTTTAAATATAAAACTCAATTTTGAAATCTATAACAAGTTAACGGTTCAGATTTCAATATGATAACTAGTCGTAATTAAGTGGGAGTGGCTATCATTTCTTAACTTTTACCACGTAACTTCATTTCACGGCGTTGCTCACAAAATTCGGCTGAATTTGGTCACCGAAACATCTGTCAACTTCTTAGTTGGGCAAATGGTGATAAAAGCACGAAAGTGACATAGTGACTTCTAAGGGGATACCTAAAAAATCACTCTGATTGGACACTCAAAGATGGCGGCCATTTTTCCAGATAAGAGGTTTTCGCATTTACAGGGGTATGGTTGGTCAATTGGAGTGATCTTAGTGTCAATATATATGGTTTATAGCATGCTGAATTCAATTTTTCTAGCTTTACAATCTTCAGAGTACCTTTTGTGCAAGAAAATGACAAATTAATAACAGCAATACACATATTCAATTTAGTTATTTTTTTTATTTTTAAGGTTTGTTACTTTATAACATATTACACTTTTAAAAGATCAGATTACTGAAATAAGGACACCAAAAACATAACCAACTATTGACCATATTACATATTAATTATGTAAAATTGTGTAAAAGTGTGCAAATAACATTGTAAAATGCGGAATTTTGTTCTTTTTCAATTAAGTGAACATTGTGTCAATTGCTTTAGTTTATAGCATGCTAAATTTATTTTTACTAGTTATACAATCTTAACAATAATAACAATAACAATAATAACAAAATAGTGGTAACAAAATTAGTAACAAAACACAACAATTCAAACAGTAAAACACCTTAAAACTTGCGCCTTTACATGTAATAGCATTATGCAAACTTTAAATAATAAGGAATTATGTCTTATTCCTTAATGCTCACACACGCAACTACAGAGAGCAGTGCAGGAGAGTCCTGAGCGAAAGCATTTGCATCTCTGGTTGCAGTCTTTCTTACAAGATTATCTGGTTAGTTCCTGACAGATTGTTGCGACTGGTAGAATAGTCGACCAATAGACTTGCCATGTCTTTCCCGTCTATGTCCATCCCCAGTCATCAGGGCTGGTGCTTTTTGGGTTTGGGATAGTTGCCCGGCCCCAGATGAGTCCATCCTGGTAGGCAGCACGCTTTGCATGTTCCATAAGGGCAGCCCTGGTTGGCGGGATTGAATCATATGGCCTCTGTTTGAAGGAAAAGAATTCCAACCTTGCCTCGTTCACACTGGCAGCAGCACTACATCTGCCATACATGAGAACAACAAAGTTCTCCAGCTTCTGAAGGTCACAATCAGGCACTTCTCATGTCAGTCATGCTGATTTCTTTCCTCCAACACGGAAAGCAGAGACAACATCACACCCAGTGAAAGCATGAAAGTATATAATCTCACTGGATTTCTTGAGCCCTATTGCAGAAACAACATCATGGACTGGAATCCACTTAGCGTTGGTGCCTTGACCAAAAGCAATCCACATGCTTTCAAGACCAAGCTCCTTCAGGGGTGGCAGTGACGACACTGGTCGTACCGCATCAGTGTCATTGGCTTTTATGATAAGGACATGCACAAACATTCTAGTATCAGCTTCTTCATGAGAACATGGGGCCACACCATCCAGGGACTCCTCTTGTGATCTGCCATGGTGGGTACTCTTGGTCTGACAGAGATCTGTCCTGGGTTAATGAAAGCCACTGTGTCTTGAATCTGCTCCAGGGCATGTTTGATGGTTGCAACAGAGTGAGCCTAGTCACGGTTCAAAGGCAGCAGTGGGGTGATGCTCACTTAAAATGGCTTGCTCCTCTTCTGTGCTGCATGGTGGGCTGCGCAAGTGATATTGACCTCACCATCAATACCTCTTTCAACCACACATATTCTTTTTTCAGGTGTGAGCGGATTGATTCAAGTGCTGGATATGAAAGACTTCTCACTGCAGGAGGATTAGGATTCTTGGGAATAAATGGAACCTTCTTTACACTAACATTGGCACTGATTTTTAGTGAATTACGTTCCTCACCATGGTGTTCAGAGGTAGGATGCTGAAAGATGAACATGATGGTACCATGGAACGAAGATTTAGCTGTTTCAGTTGGTTGTGATCAATTTTGTCCACAGCTGCAGTTGTGAACACATCTATCCTCAAGACAGGTGGGCAGATCACTCCATCTTCCACTTAGTGGGCCACAACTGCCTCTCCCAACTTGGCTGATATTGCGAGGACCCTATCATAAAATATACTGACCCCATTTTCATGAAGTATCTCTATGAGTCGCCTCTTTCTCGTCCTAGCAAACATGGACATGCAAACGTAGACAGCAATATGTGTCTTCCAGTCCTTGGAATGTGACTTTGCTAAACAGTTTTACTGCAACAAATGTGACATTGCAATGTCCAGCCATGCTGCAGTTGTGACTTAATGTCAACTCCATGCTCGATCATACAGACAAATTGAAGCAGTGATATTGGGACAGCTTTTTCAAGGCATCCATCATGGAAAGTACTGTTGAACCCTGATTTATGTTGAAGCATGTCGTATCACCCCAACAGATTTTGCAAGATAGATAGCTTCTCCATGTCTGCTTGCTTGTGCAAGGAATAACCTGACGTCTTTCTTAAAGGCTAGAAATACATCATGCCCCTGGTGATGAACTTCTCAACTCAGGGATGTGGAAAAGCAGCTGGTCCTTCAGTCAAGTAGCATGCATCTGAGGCGATTCAATGCCAAGCTGCTCCAGGCTCTCTCTGTAGAGCATACGTAGGTCAATAAGTCTGAAAATGGGTGGGTCTGGACTCTCACTTGCAGTTTTCATCTCATTGATGTAAGTCAACAGTCACCATTGGGTAGGTTTTATTCTCTTGCAGCAACTTTCTGTTTTTGTGCATTCAGATAGGCTTTTTCTCTATTGTGCAGAGCTGCCAATCATGTAGGGTGGTACTTCAGCTTTTGAGCACGCAGTGTTGCAAGGAGCTTCCCATCATTGATTGTCTTTGCACATTCATTAATTCTTCTGTTCATTTTCATAGTCATGGCTTGACTTAGACTGTCTCCTTCCTCTTCACACAGAAAGCGCTCCACTGTCCACTGCTGGGGTCAAACTTTTCTCAGCTCTTTGTAACATTGTATTGTTGAACAGTAGCCAGCAACTCTCATAATACGCAGCATTTTTTTCTCAACGTTTCGTAAATCCTACAGCCATCATCAAGTCTTGCTGGATAAAGCTTGATTGGTAACTAATTGAATATTCCTACCCAAGAGACTATAGCCACCGTCTACCCTGCCAGGATTTGCACGTGGAGAGGTAAGTACTTCCTTCTTGTTTTGTCTTTGTATCCATTGTATTGTTCAGGACGGAGGGTTTATCTTTTTACCACCTGTTTGATGGACACATTCCTGTATGGGATACAACTAGGTTCATGCATTTCGCCCTACGCCTAGCCCGATCGTTCATCCAACGTAATTTAATTCCTGTCCCATCTGTACACCATCTGGATAACTATGAACCCCGTTATCCTTGGCTCGGCTTCTCGCGCTGGCACATTCAGGTGCGGTTGCATAAGTGACTGGGGTTGGTTGGGCAACATTTGGGACACTAAGTATGAAAATGAATTCTTCTTAGCTTACGCTGAATCCTATGCTACGTTAAACAGCTACTTGTCACCTGTGCGCCCTGGTAGTGCCTAACAATTACTCCCAAGGAAAAAAAGCCTCAAGGTTCACTCTCCAAAAAAGTCCTCAAGGCACACTTTTCAAATAAATTTACAATGTGAATGTGTGGTTCACTGTCTCCAATTGCCAGTCAGGTGCCTATCATTCAGCTATTCCATTTGCACAAAGGCCTGGTTCGTGATCTTCATGCACATTATAATTTTGCAGCTTGACATACTGAATCACAACTCTGGTTGCTACCCTAATCTTGTTCAGTCATCATGCCAATTCAGTTTACTGTGTGTGGCCGTTGCTGTGTAATAATAATAACAAGTATTTATTGCTTTCCTAGGCCACCGGCCCATATACACACATATCAAACCAATGCTTAAAATGTAACGGGTACAAGAAGAATATGATAATATTCTCGGTTAATGATCACATGGAATTAAATAATAATTAATTTGTTAACAATTGTTTCCTAACTTCAAATGCTCTGTGCACAAACACACAAACATTTCGTAGAATAACACCATTTGTTGCTTGAACAAGCCTTTGGAATTTATCCATGATTGGTTGGAATGAAAAATGTTGGGGGATTAACTCTCATCTTAATGTGTTATAGGCTGGGCAAATCAACAGAAAATGATATTCATCCTCAACAAAATTAGCACGACATACTTTACAGAATCTTTCCGTTGAAGGCAAACCTTCGCGCCTACCTTCTTCAATTCTAAGTGGTAAAACCCCACAACGAAAACAGGCAAAAATGCGGACGAGTTTCAGATTGCAATTTAAAGATAAATATTTCTCCGGTTGTAAGGTACTCTTGAACTCAATGTAATTACGTAATTTAGGTTTCAAGGACGCATTTGCTTTCCAAAGCTGTCTCTGTGTGTCAGAGACTCGTAGTACAAATTCAGAAAGAAAAACGTCCTTGCTACCTACTTTCTTGAGCTAGCC